AACTTCCCAAAACGCCATAAAACCTGTACATAGGGGGTACTGTCTTACACGTGAGACTTTGCTGAATACAAATATGTGTATTTTATTGCAGTAAAAGCAAACAGTATTATGACATTGACAGTTAAAATGTCATGTAGAACTAAAAAAAATCTTATTTTCTCCCATTTCTTTTATATTAAATTATGTTTCATAGCTAAATATATGATATTAAATGAAAGCCCTGTTTCCCCTGAATAAAATGATATATAATACGGGTGGGTGCATTTAATATGAAAGAGGTGAATTACGGTTGGACAGACATGTAGCACAAATGCCAGGTTTTGTTTACATTTTGTTTTGTTCACAACGTGTACATTTGGCTCCGTCCTTAAGAGGTTAATTTCGGTATTGCACAAATCAAGGAATATGGAAATTTACGAATTGCTGTATCTACCAAATTTCAGATGGAATTCAATTTATATTTAAACATATTGGAGATCCCTAGTCACTTTTACTTCACAACCTGTTGTCTCAATGTACAAATCCCCTCTAGAATGTAAGCTCATGGGGATAGTTGTCTTCTCTTGTTTTGTTGTGTCTATATATTTATCCCCTGTTTGTATAATTATCAATCACATTTTTGCATAAATTGTAAAGAACTAAATTAAAAAATAAATAATAATGTCCATGCATTTATAATTTCATGGTTACAGAAAGACAATCAGGGTTATTTGCTAAAGTGAGAATTCAAGGTGAATTGAAAGTGAATTCCAAATTTAAATGGACACTCCAGACCCCTAAAGCACTTTAGCTTGCTGAAAAGCTTTGTGTGTGGAGAGTGTCTTGTTTTTCATTTTGCAAGTAGTGGAGATTTCAATAGCAATTGACACTTTTATAAATTATACTGGCTACACACCCCTGACATTTTAAGCCGACAACATGTCCTGTTACTTCCTGATTTGCTTAGCTTATTTGCACTGAACTCAGGAGGCAGCAATTGTCCAGAGCACCTGCCTTGCAAATACTTCCCATTGGGAAGCCTGTGATTGGACAGGGGCATAATGTCTGGGCGGGGTTAGAAGAGGAGGGTTTGCAAAGGCAGCAGATAAGATGTTTGCAGGTTTTCCAAGCTGTTATTAGATATAACTCCAATTTCAAATTGCGAGATTTCTCTCCTATGGATCCATTATGTCCATCTACATATCTGCAGGGAGACTGCAATGGAAAACATCTCCTTCTCCTGCACTGTACAGCAACAGTTTTTAATACAAACGTTATGGCTGCCTTCTAGCAACCAGAAAATGAGGCTCGTGAAAAGAAATCAGCATGCCAAAAATATTACAACTATTTAGTTCCTTGCAAAATATCTATAAATAATGATACATTAAAATGAATATTACGTTGATTTTCATCTCTTATTAGCAATTTTAATATGAAGTTGCTGTTTAATCATTTGATTATATTCTGACTTTGCATCTCATGTTCCAGATAAATGTTACACTGTTTTCTATGAGAAGAAGATTATAGTTAATGGGTTAATAGTCTATGCAATGCCCTGTTATTTCTTTGTTTGGAGTTCTGCACGTGGAACTCACTGTTTACTCATTAGAAATATTTGAGCACAAATGAGCCCAAAGTAATCAGAACATTTAAAAAACTAATTGGGAATTAATCCATCACGATTCCAAGTAACATATTTTACACTTCGTGATTTGCAATAATAATTTAAGGTAATTCTATGCGTTTTACATAATAATTACAGTTAATGCAAGCTTCCTTCCTGTGATATAATGTTCTATGATGTATTTTATTAAATCAAGCCAGAGTTCATTTGGATTCCTGTGAATATCCACACTCTTTGAAGAGAGTAATTATGTGACTAGTAGCCTGCTTTATCTGGGAATGTGTGTTCTGATTGTGTGATCTTACACTCATAAATTAGGATTTTTAAAAACCTTTATTATGATTGGTGAGAGGTAATCCTGCATGAGAAAAAACATACAATGATTGGGGCCATAGGCATTACCAGCACCGTCCCTTCCTTCTTCACACAGGGATGGTTAATGACCCAAGCAAATTCAGGATTCTAGGGCTCCTCTCTAACCTCAGGGCTGTAGGGACCTGTCTAGCGACTCCTTATGGTTAACCCTGCTCTGTAAATTAAATGTTTGGAGGCTATACATGCGATAATGAGAGAGTCAAACCTCTCTTCTTCAGTCCCTGTATATAGTGTTTACCTCCATCCACTCACCAATAGACATCACACAAAATGCCTAAGTCTTTGCCATCTTTGGTGAAGGACCCATCAGTAGACTCCTGTGGAAGGCAGCAGGGGGTGATTTCCAAACCAATATGTATACTTATGTAGCTATTCAGGCAGATGTACACTTAATCTATTGGCAAATAGTAAACAAAGTACCGTATAATTCAAGCAAGTTAGTTGATAAGAGGGCCGGACTGGGAACTAAAAGTAGCCCTGGAAAAAATTCTATACCAGCCCAATAATGCATAGCGCCAGCATAGTTTGCATGGTAGAGGGTGAAAAGATAACTTAAAACTGAAATCTATTACTCCAACGAAAGAAAGCATTTGGGGCTTCAAAATAAAAAAAAAAGAGCACCTTTCTTTTAAGCAGACATACATTTGCATGTAATCAATGTTTCAGTACAACTACCTTGACATATTAAGGACATTTTAGTAATGGGACTGAATTCAATAACAATTGACACTTTTATAAATTATACTGGCTACACACCCCTGACATTTTAAGCCGACAACACGTCCTGTTACTTCCTGATTTGCTTAGTTTATTTGCACTGAACTCAGGAGGCAGCAATTGTCCAAAGCATCTGGCTTGCAAATACTTCCCATTGGGAAGCCTGTGATTGGACCGGGCGTAATGTCTGGGCGGGTTTAGAAGAGGAGGGTTTGCAAACTCCTCTTAAAATGAATATTACGTTGATTTTCATCTCTTATTAGCAATTTTAATATGAAGTTGCTGTTTAATCATTTGATTATATTCTGACTTTGCATCTCATGTTCCAGATAAATGTTACACTGTTTTCTACGAGAAGAAGATTATAGTTAATGGGTTAATAGTCTATGCAATGCCCTGTTATTTCTTTGTTTGGAGTTCTGCACGTGGAACTCACTGTTTACTCATTAGAAATATTTGAGCACAAATGAACCCAAAGTACTCAGAACATTTAAAAAACTAATTGGGAATTAATCCATCACGATTCCAAGTAACATATTTTACACTTCATGATTTGCAATAATAATTTAAGGTCATTTTATGCGTTTTACAAAATAATTACAGAGCATATTTCAGTTAATGCAAGCTTCCTTCCTGTGATATAATGAATGTCTGCGGTAGCACATCTGTAAAAAAATGACGTTGTCTTGTTTATTTTGAAGTTCTGTAGGTGCGCTCTTCACTTTGAATATGTTATTGTGCATGAGTATGCAACTAGCAACAAGACTGGGCCAATACGTGCTCATTACATATATGTTATATATCAATGACATTTATGTTTGTATTATGCATGTATAAATATATATTAATATATGTGTAAATATTCTAAGCATAATTATATATGTTACTAATACACACATTGATATATATATGTGAGTGTGTATTAATGTCAGGATCACATCAATTACGTCTATCTGTACATTGTTAGCAAGTTTGCTAGCAAAATGCATATATTGGAAGGAAAATCTAGTTAATAAGCGGCCTTTCTCTCACCTGTCAGTTAGCTCTTCGGCATAAACTCCCGTGCTGAAGAACTGAGTTACAGGGAGTGCAGGAGACACAGGCGAAAATGCAAACCCCCCCAAACACACAAAAATGCATATTCTCTTGTGTTTCTTTTAACTCCCTTATGAATTTCTTGCCTTTTTTTATGTTTCTTATTCCTTTATTTGATTTTTTGTACCTTGTTTAGTGTATCTTGTCTCCAATTGTCTCCTTTTTTCCTCTTACAGCGACCCTTGTGTATCTTCATCCCAGCCCCTGTGTGTTTCTTTTTACCCTTCTCCAGACTCTGGATGTCTTTTTCCCCCAGCCCCTTTTATGTATGTCTTAGCCCCAGCCCCTTTGTCTCTTTCTGCCCTTCCAAATCCCGTGTGTGTGTCTCTTTCTAACTCCAGACTCTCTGTGCCTCTTTCTCTTCTCCCAGCCACTCTGTGTCTCTTTTTCCCTCAGCCAAGCTTTGCCTTTCACAAACATTGTGTGTCACTTTGTTCTCCTTCCCTTCTGTATGTCTCTTTGTCCCCACAACAAACCTTCTGTGTGTCTCTTTCTCAACTCTCCTCCCTGTGTCTCTCTTCCCCCTCTCCTCCATGTGTCTCTTTTCCCCATCTCCTCCCTGTGTCTCTCTCTTACCCCTCTGTCTCTTTGCCCTCTTCCCCTGTGTCTCTCTGTCTCTTTGTCCCCCTTCCCCTGTGTCTCTCTGTTACCCCTCTGTCTCTTTGTCCTCCTTCCCCTGTGTCTCTCTCTTACCCCTCTGTCTCTTTGCCCTCTTCCCCTGTGTCTCTCTGTCTCTTTGTCCCCTTCCCCTGTGTCTCTCTGTTACCCCTCTGTCTCTTTGTCCCCCTTCCCCTGTGTCTCTCTCTTACCCCTCTGTCTCTTTGTCCCCCTTCCCCTGTGTCTCTCTATTACCCTTCTGTCTCTTTGTCCTCCTTCCCCTGTGTCTCTCTATTACCCCTCTGTCTCTTTGTCCCCCCTTCCCCGGTGTCTATACATACAGAGCTCCATCATACAGAGCTCCCTGCACTATACATGGGCTTCCTTATCTAAAGCTTCATCACCTGGATTGACTGTAGCCCCGGGCTCCCTTTTACAGAGTTCCCTCACCTGGGACTGACCTTATGGATGGAAGTTTTTAGAGTTACATTCTGGCATATGGATATAGCATAATACAACTGCAATCATTCTCATTCTCTATATGTATAACTCATCTATCTATCTATTCTATCTTTCTATGCACACTAAAATGCAATTCACACAAATCCCTCAAATGATTCTGAATTATGGGAGTTATATACTCTCTCTATGCCATAATACAACTCCCATTACTCTCTGTCTCTTTGCCCCCCTTCCCCTGTGTCTCTCTAGCTCTGCCCCCTACCTCAGTACTCCTGTGCTGACAGCTGTCAGTATTAATGAGTGTGCTGCTGGACCTGTTAGGCGGCTGCCTGGCGCACTCACTGATACTGACAGCAGTCATACTCATGAGATGGGGCCGCTGGCCGCAAGGTAAATAACCCCCTCAGTGTGTGCCACCGGACCGGCCACCCAGCGTCACCAACATACGGCCAGCAGCCACAATATTATTAAAAACGGCTGCAGGCTCCCTCTCTATAAAGAATTAGAGTTCTGCAGCCCCCCGGTGCCACGTCCCACTGGGACATTTCCCGGTATCCTAGGGGGCCAGTCCGGCCCTAGTTGATAATATCTAAATAACTCCAACTAGGACAATGTGTATTACATTACCATGGAAACATTTAAATATGATGAAAATATGAATTGAGAGATACATCTAGCTGGAATCCAGTAGATTGCTCTCTCTCGAGTCATTTGTCTTTACTGGATTTTTTTTGTTCTAAAGATTTGAGTTCGAGATGGGCAATTTTGTACAATATGTCTCCTTTTAAAGCTCTTCCTAGAGCAAAAGAACATAACCATAAAAAAATATCTTGATTATTCTCCAAACTCTAATATTAATTCACCATTTATTATTTTCTAACACCTTAACATGTTCATAATAAAGAGTTGGGTAATGAAAAATTCACAGGGATCACCCTTATATCCTTGTTAATTTTTCAGACTTGCTAATTAATTTGTTTGCCTCATTTAACTCTCGTATCGCATTAAGAGCATAATATTCATTAAAAACGGTATATCAGGCATAAACAGGTAACCCTTTCATCACTGATGTGTGTACGTGTTATTTTGTCCTCTTTGCATTCTTTTAAAGAATATATCAGACATGCAGACACACACAGGTACCAATACACACGGACAGTTACACTGTAACTGTGTGACTGTTTCTGTCAATGTATGTGTGTCTGAGTGTCATTGTGTATCTCGGTACATCAGTGTATTTGTGTGTTTGTGCATGTATCAGAGTGTGTATGTGTTTATCGAGTGTGTATATATATATATGCATGTATCCGTGTGAAAAATAGAAGGGTCAAAACCCAAATATAGTGTAGTATTTTAAGAGTATCAAATATGGCAAATAAAAAAGATTACACTTACACTTTTCTGTAGCTCAAGATCAGCTCCAGATCACTGCGCCTGGATGGTACAATCCCCGTCTGTGGATATGTAGATGGTCCTGGTACTATATGAGGAGGTGTCTTTAGTCTTCTAAAATACCCAGAAGGATAATAACGACTCTTAAAAGTAGGAGCTTTTCCTTCTTTAAAATGGGTTGCTCTCTGATGGTGAACTTCCCTTAAAGCTAACATATGCTTTTCTGGTATAATTAACCCCTGTACTTTAAGGGACTGTAATTGAGAGAAAGAGCAAACTTAAACAAAATAAAATGGGAATATGTTGGAGCACACCAAGGGCAAAAATGATGTGCTAAGTTGCAACCAGTTAACCTGGTAAGTAAAAGAAGGAAAATATCACCCATTTAGGTTGGTTCCCACAGCTTAGTGGGAGAAGCGGAAGAGCATTGTCTGAATGGTGTTATTCAACAGTTTGCTAGTGTTTCTTTTAGGGGTTGGTGGAGCACCTGAGAGGTCTGGGCAGGATCTAAGCAGTTCTGTATAGAGATTGCATATTTTATGAAGTCCGGTACATCCTCTACCTATGAGATGGAGCGAGTGAGATGTTTATAAACCATGGCCAGAGAAAATGGAAACCCCATTCAGTACCAAATACCCTTGGAATGGATGATCTGTGAGACGTTTCTGGACCCTTAATGTAAAGAGTTGACCAGGAGAGATCCTGGTATATACATGTGTCTACATTGTTAGGGATGTCTGCAGATCTGGCAGCCTAGCTTCATTATCAGAAAAATAGTGTACGCTGCATATAATGTCTTGTGCCATTGATTGGGTCGCAAGGCCCTTTTAAATCAAATCTGAGTGGGGTGTCTGTTGGTCTATTTAAGATGGCATTAAAGAAGCACCTAATTAGGTCATGTAAATCTTTCCCTTCATTCCAGGAGAGCCTCTCATGCATAGGTTGTTCCGCATGCTGCTGTTATCAATATCCTCGATGGAGAGGTTCTGCTGGTCAGTTCTGCTGACAACTTTGTGACTTGTGATTGAAGCTCAGTAAGTTGCACATATGCTTGCTTCTAGTCATCTTCTAATTCAACCATGTGGGAACCAATATGGCGGAGGTCGCACTTTATTCTGCAAACTTTGAAATGAAGCCTCTAAGCAACCCAGCATACTGGCTAAATCTTTTATGGAAGGTAAGTGCCAAAGCAGCTTGTTAATTTAGTGTCGGATGTAGAGTATTCCAACCTTGCTGGATTGCAAGGGCAGGTGTTGTCAGTCAAGGCATCTGGCACCTTGTTGTAGTCCGTTTCTCCAATTGCAGGAGAAGAATGGTCCTTTAAATATTTTGTAGGATCCTATGATTTTTGGTTAATTGAAGTCCATGATCTGTTCTTTGCATTTGCTTCCCATTGCTGACTGAGTGGCTTGGACAGCTGTGGTTGCCTTGCGTATGCACAGATGAACTAACTTGTGACTCTTCGCGATCATTGCATAGTCACACCCCTATAAAGCATTATTTAATGTCTCCTCTTCTCTGCATGCCTTCTCTGTGCTGATTGCCAGGAGCAATGGACAGGGATTATATTATACAGTATACATGTATGAATGCTGCCTGCAGCCCTGCTCTATTGGTTGAGGTTTCTAATCACTTTTATAGAAAACTGATGCTTGAGGCAGTCTTTCATGTGATAGTGAGGGATTGCCTTATGCCCAATGTCCTTGATCCTGCCCCATAGTAATGGCCATCTGTTGTTATAATGCCACAGTGAATGGATGCCTGGAGCATGCCTCTGGTTGGGACATTACTGGGATCACGTCTGAGACATGTACAGGGCATGTGATCAGTAAGACCTAGAGTTTAGAGAATCTTTATTAGGACAACATACCTTATGTAAACTCCTTTTGTGTGAGATACATTTTATCAATAAAACTTTCTTTATAAAAAAAAGAAACAGAGAAAGAATGTACTTAACATGCTCAATTCAACAATATTGATTATATTATGTGAGGATTTATTTTAAAATTTCTATTTTGTTTATTGTGAAGCATTTTTTTCTGTATAAAATATGGGATTGATTTATCATGTATGTATTGAACATTTTGATAAATTAATAAACTAAAGTCATGAGTATATTGATATGTCTCCCATAATTAAAATTAAAAAAAAATAAACTATCGCCTTCTAACATTACAGAATAAAATAATAACCTGCCCTCAGGATAAGGATCTGTTCTCAGTAGTGTGACATGCCTTTCGAAGAGTGGTAACATTTATCTACAGGAGTATAGTTACAACTAACAGAGATCCAAACAGGTCATAAATCTAAAAGCTACTTTTATAGAGGGCCAACTGTGTCAGTGCTGACTACTTCAAATCTAAAAAAACTAAAAAAAAAACTGCAGAGGCATATATATCAAAAACTGCTTGATGCTGTACAAACATTTATATGCAGGACGCTGTTGCTAGTATCAGCTTTATCTGGTAGCTGTGACACATCTCTCCGGGCAGCAAGAGGAGCTTTGACTTCCGGCGGCTTCCATACGCGACTGAGGGTCCTGCATGTTTACAAACAATCAGGTTCCTATGGCAACACGACAGCTCCGTATCAAACCTACTGGAGATGTTTGATGTATCAGCTGTGAGGAAAAGACCTTTTGGGATTGACACTGGCGGATTGGCTACTCAAGAATGCGGACCAATTATCCTATCAACTTACAGGTGATTTTGGTGAGTGTAATTATGGTGGTCCTATAAAAAGCCCACATGTTAATCTTGCTATAAAGATGGATTATTTAATAAAGAAATCAACAGAAAAATCCATGGAGTGCTGTTTTCCATTATATATATATACTTTCCTTAAATCCTCATATATTGCATGCTTGTATGAGAAGGATCTTCTTTAACTTTTGATTCTGTCAATATTCTGTATGTCAATTACTTCTATAATTGTAAAGTGCTGTTAACTATAAATAATGAACACTAAAACATAGTGTAGAGTCCACACTATACACTAAGCAAGTCGTGCACATGTCTCACTGAGCATACATGATGAGGCACAATATCTATTCTCCTTCTAAAGCCCAGGGCAATTTAATTTTACCGCATCGTACATCCGAAGCAATGCCGTTTACACAACATTTCTTTATCCAAAAGGGTTTTGATATTTCTCTGACACATTTATTTTTCCAAACTGGGATGATAATTGCTCCAGGTGAACAAAATAACTCCATGTGCCACAGAACATAAATGCTTTCATTTGTGCCTTCACCCCATGACATCAGCCAAAAAGATAATGGAAAGCCAAACTCCCCTTGTTAATTAAGAAAAGTAAATCAGAATAACATGTAATTTGACAAAACTTGGTATTACGATAAATTCTGACAATAGCAAGGATTTTAAATATACACTGAACAAACTTATAAATGCAACACTTTTGTTTTTGCCCCCATTTTTCATGAGCTGAACGTAAAGATTTAAGACTTTTTCTATGTACACAAAAGGCCTATTTCTTTCAAATATTCTTCACAAATCTGTCTAAATCTGTGTTAGTGAGCACTTCTCCTTTGCCGAGATAATCCATCCACCTCACAGGTGTGGCATATCAAGATGCTGATTAGACAACATGATTATTGCACAGGTGTGCCTTAGGCTGGCCTGTAATAAAAGGCTACTCTAAAAATGTGCACTTCGGCAATTCTGCAATTTGGTTTGGTTTCGGCACTTCCGAAATTCGGCACTTCCGAAATTCAGCAATTCGCCACTTCGGTTCAGCACTTCGACAATTCGCCACTTCAGCACTTCGGACATTCGGACGCATCCAAATGTCCGAATTTCCCAAAATTCATCCGAATTAACATTCGGACCGAAACAAATTGCACATGTCCAAATAGTTATAGCTAGATGACTGGGTCAGAGCATCTACAAAATGGCAAGTCATGTGGGGTGTTCCTGGTATGCCGTGCTTAGTACCTACCAAAAGTGTTGCAAGGAGGACAATAGGTTAATTGGTATCAG